AAAAAAAAAAAAAAAAAAAAGTTTCAATAGAGTTTTATTATTTTATTACTCGGTAAATTCAATGAATCCTTTCGCTATTTCGAGCAAAGATGTACGCGAAACTCGCAGAGGAGGGAACATTCGGCTCGACGAAAATTTTCCATCAATTTCGGAACGAATCCGGGTCGCATCTGGTATTTTCGCCTCTTTTTTTTTTTTTTTTTTTTTTTTTTCTTCTTCTCTTTTCACGAAACGCGTTTATATTCGTGTATTTCCACACAATTATTTTTGCGATCGAGGCCGTTGCACGAGAATTCACAGGAAATTTTGATGATGCAGTGCCACGCGATAAAAATGGGCCTGTGATCGCCAACAAGACGCACATGCTTACGACCAAGTATTTATAATTCGCGATCAAAAATCAAATCCACCGGCCGAAGAATGTGCGAAGAATTATCTCAATCGAAAGAAAGAACAAAAATTGATCGCTCTAAACGAAAAACGTTGGATTTTCAGAAGAGCAGAAAATTTTTTGAAAAGAGAATGTTCGCGTCGACTAAGTTTATCGAGTTAGTGGACAAACGAAAGAAGTTTTTTTTTCAACAAATTATCATTTACAATTTTAAGCGAATTTCAAAAATTGAATAAAAAAATGTAGCCGCTAAAATTGCTAATATTCTTTCATATTTTTCTCCAATACATATCCGGCGTAACATGTGGATTAAAACTCTGCGAAAATTTGGCTTGAAATTCAATAACTGTGTTTTCGCGCTTGTATTTCAAATTTTTAATTCATTAGAAGGTATGTGTTTCGTTTTCTATGTCGTGCAACAGTGAATACATAAATTGACACGAAACTGATAGATAGTTAAGGTTGTTCAAAGAGACTAGTATGTGAAAACAACGTAGTACATATATATCTAACAATAAGTAAGTGACGTTCCATGTATACAATTTATCTAACCGGAGAATTTATCTAATCCATTTAAGGAAAAATGCAGTTCACAATATTTACATTGAAATGGAATAATAGTTGCATAACTTTTTATGCCAGGCTGAGATTTTTTTTTTTAATTTCAAACACTCAAAGTGTTTTGTCTTTAAAGTCATTTAATATTTTAGTCTTATATCTCTTGGATCTGATTTTTTTAAACCATAAACGTTACAAAAGATTTTAGAACTAAGTAGTAGATATCTCAATCTTAAAACAAAAAAAAAAAAAAAAAAATAGAAACGCAATTAGTTGACCTAGTTGACTGATATGGGTGACCTGGATATTCAAGGACATTGCCAAGAAAAATAGTGTAAATGCTGCTGACGTGAAGCAACCTGATAGAAAAATGTGTAGAATATTTAATTTGTTAATCATTTGAATTGAAACGAGAATATCCAGTATTTATGTTTCCCAAATATTTCCTTTTACAGAAGAAATACTCAAATATTCTTTTTAATTTATATTTCCACTATGCTCTTTTGAGAAAATATTTTACTTTTAATAAAAAGTTTCGGAAAAGTTATCTGCCTGAAAGATTTTGAGAAAGTTTAATAATATCTTTATGAATGACTAAGTACTTCGACATGATAATAGATTAACATATAAGAAATATTCTTTATACATATGAAATTCCAAATACAAACTTCTTTTGTTATGTATACGTTAGATAATACGAGTATTTCGTTTAATTTAAATAAATTTCAATAATTACACATTTCCAAATTTGAGAAGATAAAAATAAATGAATACGGTATGATTGTTGGCACAGTGTTCAGCTAGCTTTTGTTTTTTATTATAATAGTACAAAATAATCAACAAAAAAATAATTTTTATTTAAGCAACAAATTAATTAAATAGTTCCATTGCATAAAGCAAAGTTTAAGTATTTTAAAAATTCAATTTGTCAGTTGTTTAATCATAATCTACATTACTGATACAAGTTCTCAAACAGTTAACAAAAATTTGTTGTAGTTATAACAATGGTCTGAACGAAAAATAAAAATTTTACAGGTTGATTTGTAAAATTTGTAAAAATTATCCAAAAAATTTGATACTCGTACTGATATCAAGTGAATTGAATATAATAATAAAGACAAAAGTAAAAGATAAAGCTAAACCAAAAATTTACATTAAGAAGCTGAAGCAAAAAAATACCTCTTGAGTAAGTTCTGCTGCATTAGTTGGTTCATCGGTACTTTGTGAAGAATTTGATGGGTCAGGTGATGTCATATTCCTAGTTGGGTCTGTAGAAAGTGATATGCTGGGTCCTGCTATATCAAAATCTCTTCCAGAATCTTCGACGTTTAACAAATACGCATGGATATTATTTAAACCAGAATTCATTCTATTATATCTTCCTAATGAATTTAAATCTTCAAACAGATCTCTTTCATAATTTAAAAGCATAGAATCTAAGTTTTTCGGATGAACAAACATAGGTCGATGAACTATCGTGTGGACATCAGTATGCCATCTAGAACCATTGTTTAGATCTAATGAACCTACACCTATGGTTTGAATGTCCAAACCTAGGTAAGATTCTGGATCCAGTCGTAACAAAGAAAGTAGCAGTGCTAGTTGAAACAACTCCTCGTGGTACAATTTCTTTATACACAACATTTTGCCTGTTTGGTATTTAAATCACTTCTAGTTGGCAAATTTACAAGTTTACAATTCAGATTATTTCAGCTTATTGTCACAATGGTTTGGCACGTTTTGAGATGAGTTATCACAAAGAAACGAATGTTCATGTTAAACCGTTTGTTTTGCCAATGAATCAGTCTAAATGTCCAATAATGTTCCAAAAACTATATGTAATTACAACATATTGGCTGTGAGCGAAGTTATATGCACCATTTAATAACAGACAATTCAAGACTGTGTTCTTAATTGGTCAACAATGTTGTCAAACACCACTTCTTAAACTTTTTGTTTTCCTCTTCAACGTAACCAATACAGAAAATTGAAATAAGATTAAGAAAGACAGTTTTTAAATGTCCTTGTTGGAGGAACTTATTCGACAGAGTGTCAGAATGGAAATAAAGATTCGGAGCTCTGTTTAAACAAGTATAGGTCAGTTACACGAACACAAAAATAACCTCAAAACACACACTAACCACGTCAAACTTCAGTGCACGTCGCGTACGTCCTACGCATGCCTCGGATTTCGCTTGACAATTTGGGGCGATACTTTTTTGAATTAATGCTAACACTTTCCTTCCACTGACACACCACAGCAGTTGCAATAAAATGCAAGAATACCCGTTTAATAGTAAAAACTGACAGATTCGCGAGCCTAAACCGGGCCTAAAGCTGCCTTAAATTCGTTTCCATTAACTATTCGAGGCCCGCGACAAGCGCCAAGTACCTCCTTTTTTAAATCATTTTGGTTCGATGATGTTAAAATTTCGACAGTGACAACGTTATACTACTTCGATACAATGCATTTCACAGAGAAACGAACTAGCACACCTTCCTGGGAGAGATCGTTCACGATATGTGACTCAGCATTCACTCCGGCAACGTCGTTTCTCAGGGCTGCGCCAAGTGCACGTTTCTCCCCATATATTTCTACACAGATGACAAATCCGTTTGCCTCGTCGAATTTAAATCTCTGGCGTATATTTCATTTCTTATTCCCATTTGTGGAATACTAATCTCCCTTTGTTTCGAATGTTAATCGATTGTGAAATAATGTACGAACGATGACGCAATGAGAATTGCATAAATTAATCTAGAAGTAGTCGTAATACACGTGGTATTAGCTTATTCGCGTGATTGTTTACAACGTAGTTTGTACAATTTACGAACAAAAAAGTTCATTTATACATACAGAAAAAGAATAAAAATATTTTTCATCCGTTTGTATGTTTAACTTCATGAAATAAAACAAAATTGAAACATTATGTACTCATGTATATGGATTATTTTCGAAATAAATTATCGATTCTTTATTGAAATATATACGTACTTATATAACTTATGTAACCATGTAGCGTTTCATTACATTTTCACTAGTTTTTCTATTACACGCAAATTCGCACTGATTGCATAACTATTCCTTTAACGTTCGTTTGCTATTGCTTTGATAATTAAAACACTCATAAATTTACTGATAAGATAAAGATTCTTGCATCTTTTTAAATTATTATTTTGATTTGAGAAATTCTACGAGATTATAAATATGAGATCATAGATAATAAATACGAGTATCTTTGTTCTTTTCGATAATGACAATAATATACATATATTTAGTTACCTTTTATCAATAAGATTTATTTCCTTATTTATGTGATAAAATTATACCTATTGTATTATTATTTCAATAATTATAGTAATATATTTACTGTCATTAATATATACTGTTATTAACATATAATTCGATATATAATATCGTGTATTATAATTTGTATAATCCGATATCAATCATGTATGTTCGAATTTTTATACATTGTAATACGATTGTATACGTGATTGGAAAATGAAAAAGAAAGTTGTGTTGAAAAGAAGCAGCCTATTAATATATTAATATTTATTAAGGCTGACTTAAAACGTACTATTAAAGCTGAATTAAAAAGTGAAATTAATTTTACATACATGTGAGTGAAAGAGAAAGAGTGTGTATTTGTACGTGCGAGCGTGAAAGAGAGAGATATAGAGAGAGGGATTGAAGTCGTATAAAATCTAAACTAAAATAAAGGAACTCCGCTTACGGTCATGTTGGTACGCCGTGCGAAGTTGCCATATTTAAACTGTTAATATAATGAGTGATCAAGCTTACACGTGATCAAACTTATCCATATACATGGGTATGTAAATAAGTATATATACATATCAAATGTACAGCAATATACATATATATGTATATGTATGTATATATATATATATATGTATGTATATTCATATGTTTAGTACTTACCCCACTCATTGTAAACTCTGTTGACTTCAGATCAATTACATTGTTGCCAGGTGACAGTGACGTCATACGCGGTAAATCTTCCATTTGAAGCATGTCTCTATTAATCTCTTAATTTTTAAACGTTTATCGAGTTAAAAAAAATCACTCAAGTACTAGTCGATACCGACTGAAGATTTGTCATTCGCAATTACAAGTATGCAAGTGGAACATATTACGTCACTCAACTTCGAGAAACACTATCACTTTAATAGACTGTTCTCCAAGAGTACGTTGTAAACTTTCATATTTTAGACCATATTTCAATTAAGATACAATGACAAGTATTTTTTTTAACGGAAGTTATCCTCGCGTAATGATGCAATTGTTAAGATCGACACGAAAGCAACCGTCTGTCATTCCAGCATGAGATAATTGGAATTTTTCTTGGCCTACGTCACGATGAGCTACAACCGCGCTATTTGAACATGGCGCCATTGATTGAAGAGAGGACAGATACGATATTACAAAGAACTTTATGTCTTACGTTGCGAAGTACCGACCTTGAAAGAAAACAGAACACTTCTTATGCTCTCTGCGACGTGCTATGGCCAACAATAAAGTCAATAGTGTTATCTTTATTATAAAACAGTCAATTGAAATAACGATTACAAACAACGCCTATGACTGAAAAATTTTGTTAAATATAATGGAGATTATTTTGAAGAGTAAAATCATTTAGATAAAAGCTTAAAATTAAGGCTTGAAGTTAAGACGCACTTTTTTGACTAACAATAAGATCAAAATTAAAATATATTATAACCTATGTACAAAATGCGCGCGCAATGTTTTAGTTCACAATCAGCTAAACGACCACAGCGCCAAACGGTGAAACGCAGAATAGACTTATTACAATTCTCAAACATATCGATATATCTCACAATCGATATGTAGTGTCGAAACGTAACGTACAAACATTAGTATATGTGGGAAGCAGTAGCAAGAAGAAGTGTCACTTAGAAGTCTACAGGTAAATGTTACAATCAATATTTTTAGATTTATATTTATATTTCCGAGTACATTTGCAATTTAGAATAGTGATCATTATTTCAAACAGTTATTATTCAAATTAGTTTCGTGTTGGGTAGTAATACATACATATATATGTATGTATGTTCGTAGTTCACGAGTTGGCATAGAAAACTTTTATCATATTCATTGTTCAAAAAATTCTTATAGGAAGATTTGCTTTCTCATAAATTCCATAAAAGTATTGAAAATTGTGGTTTTAAGATATATTATCATGCATGGCGTTTATTAAATCATGTATGTTTTTTTATAATTTTTATATAATTTGTTCTCTTTTGTACATTTATTCGAAACTTTTTGGTTCTCTTTTGTTCGGATTCTTGATTGATTGCAAAAGAATATAATATTGCAATTAATCTGATAAATCTGATAACTTTTCACGAATGTAAAGTAACTTGAATTGTATCAATAAAAAAGCAGGCGTTTACAATGAAAAGGAACGCCATTATAAATTTAAACACGTTCTGCGCATCGCGTTTTTTCCCTACTGCGCAGCTCTGTCTAACCAT